TATATATATATATATATATATATATATATATATATATATAAAACTTGCTATGTTTTGTACCATTGTTCTAGAAAGCAGAAGCAGAATGTACCTTCACTAATACCCTGGTAACTCACTTCCTTAAGGTTCATAACAAACCTGTGAATACAGAGGTGTACTGGGACAAAGACTCTGGTCAGCAGATACCCACAATCTTAAAAGGAAAATAACTACTGGCATTTCACAATGGCTTACTAAAGGGTACAATTGTGCTTATAGGTCATTTAATATAAAAATATATACCACATCCAAGTCATGTAAAACATACTTATAAATCTTACTGACATATATGAGGTTAGAGCTGAGAACAGGATAGAGAATGTAGAAAGTGAGAACAATTCCAGTGCATGATGGATTCACACCTAGACTCTCCATTCTCTCCTCTGGGAGATACTTTAGTTACAGTTGTGCGTGGCAGAAAGTCTGCCTTTGAAATTAAAGACTTGCCCCAAGTCTCAAACCCACTCTTCCCTTCTCTGCCCATCAGCCTTGAACCTCGGAAATGCAGCTGTGTAGATGATGCCCTCTTAGAAATGTAAGTACATGATGCTCGTGACTGCACACGAATGTGAACACTTGATGCCAAAGAGCTGCTTTTCATCATAGTTAAAATGATAATTTTATGCAATGTATATTTGACCACAATAAAAAAAAATCTATTTTAGAAAACAATAAATTTAGCCCAAACACCTATGTTCTTATGCTTAACAAAATAAAATCACTTAACATCTGGCACTTAAGCTAATGTCTTCTCTCACTTGTAGCTCTAGTTGGCCTTGAACTTGTCATCTGTCTGCCTTATCCTTTGGAGTCCTGGACTGCAGGCGTACATCTGCACGGCCAGCAGTTAATCACCGTGGAGGTCAAGCTTATCATTATATGAATATAATAAGAAAGGTGTGTGTATGCGCACTTGCACGTACACGCACGCATGCGTGTGATCTAGGTAAGTAAGCTAGACTCTCCTTTGTAGAAAGCCCTGAATAGAAAAATGGAACTTTAATGTCAGTTTTTCACAACCTCAGAAATTTTACTGCCACTAAAATAGAGTGTTTTGATAAAAAATAATATTTTGTAATGTTTGTATCATTGGTATGATTTTTTTAAAAATCTATATTGGACAGTTTCTTAAATAACCCATCCCTAGACTTCCATAGTTTATATAAGGGAGTCTTATCAGTTGGCAAGTTATAATACAAAACAAAATACACACTTGCAGAAATTATTTCCTTGTGAAAAGTGTCATAATATTTGAATTTCTTAGTCTTTTCATTTGTTGTCATGAAAATTCCTATTTTCATGTTTCTTCAAAAGCTTTATCATCAGTATTCAAGTACCGCGACTCTCCATGCTTCAGGACGAAGAAATCCTCACAGGAAAGTCCGTATCTCTCTAAAGCTTCACTCAGCCTCAGCGGTGGCTCTAAGTAATGCTGGTGGTGACGGGAAGAAAAGGAAAACTTAGAATCCACATACTTGATGGCTATTCCAAACAAGCACTCAAACTAAAAACAAACTCCAAACACCAAAAGTTGCCTACATGAGGCAATTCCCTTTCTTTTAAGTGAACCATTAGCAAATGAGACAAATATGGCTTCTTACCCAATTGAAGCCATTAATTACAAAAAACGAAGTCACAAAAACTGTCCAGTGCTGGATAGAAGTCCATCCAAATGTCTGTGTGTGCACATGTGCCACCTTGCATCAGTGACATTAGATTACACAAAATCTGATCCTGATCTCATGATACAATTTCAGTGTAACTGGAATCAATACCAAGAAATTATACTAGAGGATTGGAAGTTAACATTTAAGCTTGTGGGACTCTGTAGATCCGTGTTTGTGTGGACAAGCAAATACTTTTGGTTGGTGGCACCCACAAACCATGCCAGAAGATGAAAGTGGCTCCCAGGAACAGACACTGCAGTACAGCCCCCCCACCCCCCGCAAACTCCCTGCATTTCCTCAGTGATCTTAGCACCATAAAAAAATGGCACAAAGCATGCTTTAGAATGATTTTTGCACACGTGAATATTTTCTTAAAAAGTTCAAAGTATCTTGGCAAAATGCCGTGGCAGGCAAGGATACTAGATGTGGAGCCTGGGGCCCTGAGTTAGATTCCCAGACCCACGTGGTATGCAGTGAAAACTGACCCTCTCTGACCTCTGCATCCATGGCACATATGCTCTGTACAAATACACAATGTAAATTATTTTGAAAGTGCAGACCAGCTTGCTTGGTCCTTTTGGCTGGGGCAGACACCTAGCTGGTCTGCTCCTGTGAAGACACCGTATCCTGAGCCATCCTAGAGGAACCAGTGCACTCAGAGCAGCAGGATTTCAGGATCCCAGAGGCAGTCTGAGTCCCAGCAGTTCTTCTACCCAGGAGCTCAGGATCACAGAGCTCTGGACTCTGAGGAGTTCTGACACAAGCCAGATAACAGGACAGAGAGGCTCTAGGCAGTAACAGTGAGTACAGGTAGCACCAGAGTTAACCAGATGGCAAAAGGCAATCGCAAGAACATAAACAACAGAAACCAAAGTTACTTGGCATCATCAGGACCCAGTTCTCCCACCATAGCAAGCCCGGACACCCCATTACACCAGAAAAGCAGGATTCAGAATTAAAATCACTTCTCATGATGATGATAGAGGACTTTAAGAGGAACATAAATAACTCTCTTAAAGAAGTACAGGAGAAAACAGGTAAACAGGTAGAAGCCCTTAAAGAGGAAACACAAAAATCCCTTAAAGAACTGCAAGAAAATACAACCAAACAGGTGAAGGAATTAAACAAAACCATCCAGGATCTAAAAATGGAATAGAAACAATAAAGAAATCACAAAGGGAGACTACCCTGGAGATAGAAAACCTAGGAAAGAAATCAGGACTTGTAGACACAAGCATCACCGACAGGATACAAGAGATAGAAGAGAGAATCTCAGGTGCAGAAGATACCATGGAAAACATTGACACAACTGTCAAAGAAAATGCAAAATGCAAAGCTGAGGCAGGCGGATTTCTAAGTTCGAGGCCAGCCTGGTCTACAGAGTCAGTTCCAGGACAGCCAGAGATATACAGAGAAACCCTGTCTTGAAAAACTGAAAAAAAAAAGAAAGAGGAGGAGGAGGAGAAGGAGGAGGAGGAGGAGGAGGAGGAAGAGGGAGGAGGAAGAGGGAGGAGGAGGAGGGAGGAGAAGGAGGAAGAGAAAGAAGAGGAGGGAGGAGGAGGAGGAAGAGGAGGAGGAGGAGGAAGAGGAGGAGAAATGTATAAGAACACTGCCAGAGATACAAGCATACTAATAAATAATATTTGTGCTAATTCTCAGAGAATTTCATAAAGTGAGCAATCTATTTCAATAATATCCACTCCTTATCCCCTCCCTCACCTCCTCCCAGACCCATCCCCTCCCCAGCCCCCATTCCAACTTCATCCCCTTTTTTAAGTTATTTCTGTTCTAATTAAATCTCTATGCTGTATAATAGCTTCTTTTTTTTTAATTCATTCGAAATGTCTTTTTTTCCTAATTAGAAAGGCTGTGGCATTTGGAAGTTAGAAAACAAGTCAAAGTTTCTGAACTAATCACGGGTGGAGAGCGTCTCTCCCTTCTATGGGGACTATCTTCCAGGCATCGACAGAGTGTGCCAGCTCGTCCTTACTCTAACACAGAGACAAACAGAAAGGGAAGTAAGCTATCTGACAGCTTATTATGTTCTGGGGAAGAAAGTGCTGGAAATGAGATCTGTTTTAAAGACAATAATCTGGGGGCCTTCCAAGAAAGTCCCCTCTGTGTACACCCAACAGCCTGGGCTGCTCAGAGCACTGTAGGCAAGCATCAGGCTGAGGCTGCTCAGGGCACTGTGGGCAAGGAAGTTTTCACCCAGAACATGAGGCTCTCAGGTCACGCTGTGTCGTGATTTGATTCTAATTGTAAAGGTCACCAACGTCTCCTATAGAGATGAACAGAGTGTATAATGTGTGGCGTGAGGGCTGAGCTCTGTGAGGGTGAGGAAGGAGGCAGCTCTGGCTAGAGGAGGAGACATCTCAAATGCAAATATGGCTGGGTAAGGATCTGATTTAGAAAGGTGAGAGAAGCCAGACAGGAGGAAAATGAAGGGATATGAGAAAGGGGAAGTTCCTTCACCAATCCCTAGTTTATGTTCCCCACTGACCGAGAGTCAGAACTTTAGACACAACTAATAAATCCACAGGAAAGACTGTCTGCACAGTGTCTTACACTCTTCCTGAGCAGCATCCCAGACAGAAATAAAACAGCTGATGAACCACGGTTAAAGCTAGAAGTGTGCTTTAAAGCTTTGTAAGCTTCTAATACTTTATCTACTGAGCCATCTGTATAGCCCCAAGCATATCTTTCTGAAAGCCTGCGCTTGAAATCTGCCCTTGATGTTTACTGCTTTTGTTTTGTGTTTTGTTTTTTTCAAGACAGGGTTTCTCTGTGTGTAGCCCTGGCTAGCTTCGAACTCTCGAACTCAGAGATCCGCCTGCCTCTGCCTCCCAAGTGCTGGGATTAAAGGCATGCGCCACCACCGCCCGGCCGTGTTTACTGCTTCTTAATACTGAGTCACCCTGATTCTGATTGAACCTGCAATTCCCTTCTGTGGCTTACGATCCCAGCTACACATGAGTCAAGGTCTCTAGAAGCAACTCCTCAGACTGCCCAGCCAGTCTGGGCTGCTTCTCCTCATTGCAGGACTGGGCCAGGCCTGCTGCCTGCAACACTCAATCCTTACAAGGAGAGATGAGATAACCAACAAAATATAAAACCCAGGAAACTTTTTTATTGGGGCTTAACATGTAACATGAGTATCTTCCTCCCTGTTTATTTCCCATTTGGAGCTATGTTTAGAGGGTCACTGACAGCATTCAACTACTAAATAACTTAGTGTTGCAGCCTATTTGATCACACTGTGAATCCCAAGATTGTGTTATTTACTGAAAAGCCCTGTTTCTAGTTGTGGTTCAGCTCAGCCTTAGCACACACCTTGAATCCCTCTGGCTAGAATACAGACACACACTTACTACACACCTTTAATCCCCAAAAATGAAGGTAAAGTTAGTTTGTAGAAAGATACACCCATATTTGAAAGTAATGTCTAATTGAGTAGCAAAGTGATGAATTGGCGAAATATTTGACAGAATAGGATATGCCCAGCTGTCAAGAGACAGGAAAGGGAAGCTATTTAAGGGGTTGTGCAGAGAGGGGGAAAAGGAGAAAGGCAGTTTTAAAAGGACAGTCATACAGAGGTAGGACATGGAGAGAACAAGCCAGATATAGATGAAGACAGAATGAGCCAAAAATGAGAAGGAGTCGGAACATTAAACAGATTGCTAGAGGTAGTCTGAGGTCAAGCAGAACAATCCTGGAGCCATAAGGGAAGAGAGAGAAGCCAGACTGAATCAGTCAGCTTGGAGAGGAATTTGAACAAGAACAGCTGAGTTGAACCAGCCAGGCCAAGATCAGAAAGAACTACATAGGGGTAAGCTTATTCAGCAGCAAGTCTCAGAGGCTGAAAACATTGTAGACCTAGATAAGATTGTATGGAGGCCAGAAGCTTCCAAGATTAGACATAGGTTAGCAGACGGAGGCAGTAAACCCCGGAGATGACAATTACATCAGACTAAAAGATACTTTTAATCTTTATTTATACTGTTTTCTGAGAGGTAATTCAGCACGATGCTTGAAGGCTGAATAGTGAGACGATTCTTGACATCTGAGGTTCAGATCCTCGCCTTGTTTCCCCATCTCAGCAAAGACCCCTCATGACTTGCCCGTTACTCAAGCTGAGTCTTCAGACCTTCCTTTACAAAAGCTTAATAAATACAACTATTCCACCTAGGTCACTAACAAGATACACATGGGACATCCACACACAGAGGCACACAGAGATGGCAGAAGAAACTGTCATCAAAAGGCAGTATACACATGCGACAGCTTGCCTCTTGCCAAATGCACACATGTCCCTCAGGTGGGCATGCCTGCCTCCTGGCTCTGTGGGTTTTCATTTATTGATCCATCCCACCTCCGGCAGCATGGCTAACAACCTGCTGCATGACACAGGGTTTTCTCATCATAAAATAGACATTTTAACTAAGGAGTGGGAAATGAGCAGGGAGCGGGTTAGGTAATTCTAGAACAAACCATATCTTAGGAAGGGACTAGGCCAGAGACAAAGAAGAGCAAGAGGGCTAAAAGCAGCAAGAAAACACTGAGTCTCTACAGAGAGGTCCTGGGAGATAGAAGGGGCCACAGAGCGCCAAGGAGAAGTTGACTTCTAACCCGCTTCTAAACTTGTCCTGGTCTCAGATCCAGAAACCAAGAGACATTTCTCTAGACTTGCCTGATCCTAGAACCCAGGCTGGCAGCAGACCTCTGGGGAATCAATCCCCTAAGGAAGGGTCAGTTCTTCTGATGGAGTTAAAGAATAAACCACATTTACCCCAACATCAGAGATGACAAGCACTGAATCAAAGTTAACTGGATAGGTAAGATTCCTCTATCCCAGCTCTCCTCTCTGCTGCCTTCCACCACCCACTCTCCTGCTGAACAACTCTTCACTTCCCTAGTGTGTGCTGCCCCCTTATGCTCTGCTCTTTCCTCCTCTGTAAAGATGTAAAGATGGCCCTCTTGACAGTGGCCACATGAAAAATTTCATCTTCCATGAAGCAATTCCAGATCCCTTTGTTTGAGACCAATTTATCTGTCCTATATTATAGCACTTCCGCATTCCAGAAAACAAGCCATGTTCATGTGTGCTAGCTTCTACTAGAACACAAGCCATCTGGAGAGTGGGCCATGACAGTTCATGTTCAACACCATACAGAGATAACTGGATAAGCACATACTTTGTTAACTGGAGAATCAGCCTAAGCAAGAGCGCACCATGCAGGTTTTATTCATACTGTTTCCAAGTATTATTTTACTACTAATTACGCTTGGCCTCACCAGTTCATGTGGTAATAACTGTATGGCATTGAATACCACAGTGCTGTCTCTCAAAGCCAAAATCCCACCAACAGCCAAACACACAATCAAAGCCAGGTTGTTTGTTTGTTTGTTTGCTTAAATCAAACTTACCTCATTAGCCAAGGCAAAAGTCCCCCAGTGAATTGCCACAGATTTCTTTGTTTGAACGTCAATGTGAATCCTTACAGCATCTTCTGGGTCAGCATGCTGGTATTTCATAAACCATCTGATGAAACACAGCAATTAATTAATTAATCCAGCCTTTGAAAACAGCCTTCATCCAAATGACTATTTCATCTAGTCAACATTTAATAATCTGCTGATCTGGAGAGAGAGCTGTGCAGTTAAGAGCACATGCCACTTTGTCAGAAGACCTGAGTTTGGTTCCCAAATCAGGCAGTTCACAACTGCCTATAACCCAAGCTCCAGGAGATCCAATGCCAATGTCCTTGGACACTTGCATACACAGACACGCACTCACACAGACACATACTCAGACACACACACACATATTCAGTTAAAAATAAAATGAGAAAGACTCTTTACAGGGCTATGAACGTTTGAAAATGTAGCAGCTTTTTGTATTCACAGTTTTCACATTTTTTTTAATTATTTGAGAATACGATGTGTACATGTAGACAACGATTATTTGTGCAGCATCTCCTATTCCTTGGGTTGACTCTATGTCAGTGCAACTAAGACGGAATCACTAGCAGATGCAGCAACAAACAGGAAGGAGCCACCTCCATCCACTTCTCAGCCACCAAATTCACACCACGCTCATCTGGAAAGTGTATGCTACTGCTCCGTGATTCTGATGTAACTACTCTGGGCTGGGACACTGGTGTGGGGCTTTTGTGGCCAGAGTTGAGAATTCCAGGGGAGGCACACAGCAGTGAGGAGAAGGAGCCCAAGAGCACGTGTGGAGGCACGTCAAGACTTAACTGTGAGAAAGCAAGCAGGGCTGGAGAGACAGCTCTGCAGTCCAGACTGTCTGCTGCTCCTTCAGAGGACCTGAGTTCAGCTCCCAGAACTCACATCAGGTGGCTCACAATGGCCTGGAACTCCAGCTGTAAGGAACCGGACCCTATTCTGACCTCTGTGGGCACCCAAACACAAGGCACTTACTCACACAGACACAGAATATGCATAAATATTAAAAACAAAACCTTATGCTGGGCATGGTGGTAAGAGGCACAGGCAGGCAGATTTCTGAGTTCAGGACCAGGCTGATCTACAGAGCTAGGTCCAGTACAGCCAGGGCTACAGAGAGAAACCCTACCTCAATAAATAAATTATAAATGCATATATATGTATATATATATGCATATATATACACATATATATAATCACATATATATTTGGCTTAGAATCATATATATTTACAGTCAGTAAAACCATTTCCCCTCTGTCCACTTTTCTCTGGGGGCATAAAGTAAAAATCTTGCATGTATAAATTGCTAAACAAGTGAGTCTCAAGCTTTGTTTCATATTTATTTTGATTTTTTACTGATGCTGTATTTTAAAAGCATGATTTAATACTTTAAAAAGCAAATACTCTGCAATTTTAGGAATGAATCAAAGAAATGTAATAATGGGTAAAGGATTGGAAGCCAAACTTGAGTTACTACAGAATAAAAATATCATACAGATATAAACTAACCAAATAAAAGAGCCAAGAGTTAATGTATCAATTCAGGAACTGTGGCACACAAACCTGTAACTCTGCCAGTCCACATGAGGACCCTAAGTTCAAAGCTAGACTACATTTCCAAGACTTTTTCCCAAAAATAGTGTACAGTGTAACGTGTACAAACTTTAAAGATAAGCAACAAAAAGTCCTACTGCTAGTCAAGGAATTTTTATTAAAACGTCATAAATCATAAAACTGGGCTGGAGAGATGGCTCAGCAGTTAAGAGCAGTGGTTGTTCTTCCAAAGGACCTGGGTTCAATTCCCAGCACCCATATGGCAGCTCACAACTGTCTGTAACTCTAGTTCCAGAGGAGCTGGCACCTACACATAGACATATGTGAAGGCAAACCATCAATGCAAATAAAAAAATACAAATCTAAAAAAAAATCATAAAACTGAATAGTGAGGTGCAGTAAAAAGACAGACAAATGACTACACATTCATATCCTGAAAGGGCAACTGAGGCCTTGGAACCAGCCCAGGCTCCTGAAGCACAGAGCCTCCTGGTCCCAGCTCCTGCCACTGCTAGAATGCCTTTGGAAAGTTCTCTCAAATTCCCTGAGCTTCTACTTCCATGTCTGTGAAGTATAAACTCTGATCCACCCTGGAAAGGACTTGTGACAGTTGGGTTACCTAGACAGCTTGTGAAAGCACTGAATGCAGCACCTACTCATAGATTTCTCCCAGAAAAATAACTAACGAAAACATTATCTTCAAGAAAAAAAATGAGTTGTTTTGTATACAAAGGACATGCACCTTTTGCTTTTTAAGCCATTGGTTTAGCTGAGGAAAAACGTTTTCTTCATGTTCTCTTCATCCTAATTTTACAACAAACGCTAGAGAGACCAAGGGGTGCGGGTTCTCACAGGCGCTCTGCCCTTCCTGGAACCCATCACAGAAGAGCCCGTCCATCTGCAATAGCACAAGGGTGATGTTTACTGTGCGCAGTTGTTGGGTGCTCCGGGAACCCAAAAACAAAGAAAGCCTGTGTCCTCAACAGGCTACAGAGCGATGTTCTGGACGTTCTGTCTTATGTCCTGACACTCAGGAATAGAGGCAAAATGGAAACAGTCTTGGTGAGCCTGCTCATTTAGTAAACAATCCGACTGCGAGTCACACTTCTTTTCTAACTTCATGTTTACCTGAAATGACTTTTTTTTTTACACTAGCAATTAAAATTAAAACATTAGTGCTAAGGACTCAGGCCAGTGATGGATCAGTTGACCTAGCTTGTTCCAGGATCTGGATTCAGTCCCCACATGAGAAAAGCAGGAAATGCTAAATTCCAGCTGACTTAGCTACAATGTCTGGGGATAAGAGACCCCAGAAGAAGGGATGAAATATGCCCAGCACAAAACTAAAAGCCAATGTTTTCTGAGTTTTGGTTTTTATTTTTTTTCCTATAATCAGCTTACATATGCACAGAATTCCTAAGTTTTATTTCTAAAACAGCTAGTATTGACAAAAACAAAACGCGTGCGCGCACACACACACAGATTCCACAATATATGTGAGCTTCCCATTGCTCTTAAAGCAAGCAATGCCCCCAGCGCCGCCTCTCACAGCCTAGAGAGCCAGCAGCACTGCAGAGAAGCGACCAGGTCGTAAGCATGCAGTTTGCTGCGTTGCCACAGACACATACATCAAGCGCATATGCTGCTGCCTGTGAAGACCTGTTTTCATAATAATAAAGAGATATTCTAATGTAGTGAGCAAAAACCAACACCATTTAAAAATAATCTGTAACAGTCTTTTTAAAGTCATCTTGATATTTTCTGAAGTTTCATGAGAACTAAAATAATTTGAATGGAAAAAGCAAAATTCAAATATTAATACTGACTTACAGTAGCTTTTGTTGTGGTATGTAGTGGTGGTGATTTTTCTGGAGCAGATCCTCCTGCTCAACCTCTAAATTTTGGGATTAGTGGCCTGTGCCACCACATCTGGCAAGTTGCAATGGTTTTAATAATTACCAAGAATCCAAAACAGGTGAAAGTATCTAAACCTACCCACAATGAAGAAACAAAACCAACTAACTAACTAGATGTAATAGAATAAAAGAACAGATATTAATCAGAAAAATGGTTTGATGAGCTTAAAGGTTAACAAATAAATTTGACAGAGACGGGGATATAGTTCAATGATAAGAGTGTTTGCCCAGCATGCAGAGAAAAATAAAGCAAAACTTGGTGTGTGTGCACATGTGCGCATGTGTATGTGGGCATGTGCAGGCCAGACCAGTTTTCCTCTGTCACTCCACCTTAAGAAAAAAAAACTTACCACATGTATTCATCCTGTCCATGTGACACAGCGTGTGGGCAAATGTAAGTATAAGTTGGAGGAGAACTCACAGGAGCTGATTCTCCTTCTAAGCTGTGGGTTCTGGGGATCACTCTGAGCCTCAGGGCTTTGCCAAAGTGCTTCTCTTTACCATTTCCCCAGAACTGATCTCACTGACTGGTTAAACTGGCTGGCCAGCGAACGGCCATTGAACACCCAGGACCCTCCCGCCGAATCCCCAGCTCTGGAATTATAGGAATGTGCTGGCAGAGAGGGCTTTTACACTGGGCTCTGAGGATGCAAGCTTGTGTCCCCCTGCTTGGGTAGGCATTCATTTTATTACCCGGTAAGCCAACCTCCTAGGCCACTTTGTTACAATCTGTTCTGTGCACTTTACTGGTACATCTGTTTGACTGCAATCACTGAAACCAGATCTCTTCCTTAAGGAGATTAAGACAGATAGTATTAAGAAAAGCAGCCAGTAACAGGGTCTTCTGGGTCCTTAATGGCAGTGTGGCTCATATCTGCTCTGAAAATGAGTGCTGAGTCCACAGTGGCCAGATAGAGCACTGAGCACCAGATTCTCTGCCTGCTCATCGACATTAAGACCATCGCAAGGACTAGAGCTATAAGCCAACTCCTTGCTTTCTCGCTCTGTTAAACATAGAAGAGCTGCAGGGCAGGGATCGGAAAATTCCAATCACAGGGTAAAAGACTGTCATCTCTAGAGAGACTCATCCATGTGAAAAAGGAAGAGCAAAAGGTAACGCTGGCTATTAGCTAGTAAGCCAGAGGCAGGGTGTACAGAAAATCGAATGTGAATCCGACTTCAACCTCCATCAATGATAACCAAGCCCACCACTAAAATCACAGACTACAGAGTCTCAGGAAGTCACAGCCTGTAAAGCGCACTCTTACGAACCTTGGTTCATAAGCTCCGATGGGAATAGCCGCAAGGTCAAAAGGACCAAACCTTTTCCCAATCTCTTCAAAAGCAGGGCAGTAGCCAGTATCCCCAGCAAAGAAGAACCGATTCCAAGGCCCGAGCACAGACCAGCTGCCCCACAGAACCTTGTTGTCGTCCAGGAGGGTCCTTTTACACCAGTGTTGGGAAGGCGTGAAGACGAAGGTGACCTTATCGTGGCCAGGGACGCAATTCTCCTCCCACCAGTCCAGCTCAATCACGTTCTCGCAGCCACATTTCTGCATCCAGTCGAGAAGGCCCAGCGGCACGAACCATCTCAGCTCACTGCCGAACCGCTCATTCAACGCGAGGACGGAGCCGTAGTCCAGATGGTCATAGTGGTTGTGACTGATGAGCACGGCATCTATTGGGGGGAGCTCGCTTACTGTACACGGGGCACGGCGAAACCGCTTTGGACCCACGTACTGCGAGGGAGAGGCGCGAGAGCTGAACATGGGATCCGTGAGGAAGATGAGTTCATCCATTTCCACCATCAGCGTTGCATGTCCCAGCCACGTGACTCGTAAGCCAGCCTCTCTCACTCCAGCGTCTTCAGGGTCACTGATAAAATATGGCTTAAGTACTGGGAGTTCTTTGTCAAGTTCCTGTATATATAAAAAAGAAAACAGCAGTATTTAAAGGTGGAAAGATATTACATCATCACAGAAAGTGTTCTGACCTAAATTTCAGAGAGAAGAGCTATTTGGGGATAACTGAAGTCATCCAACACGCCTGCTGCTTCTGCTCTGCTCTTAGACAATGTGTACCTCACTTCTTTCTAGATGTGCTTAGTAACAACAGTTTGGGGATCTATAACCCTGAATGTAAAAGCAAAAGGAAATGAAATTTAAAACTCTCAGTACTGCTAGGCTTATTTTTTGAAGGCTCTCTTCCGGAATACAGGCAGGAGACTGGCAGTCGCTGGCTCCTGTTGCCTCACTGAGCTGAGGGTGTGTTTGCTGTTGAAAAACCAGCCTGAGAAGCAGCCCAGTCCCTGGAACTTAGAAAGCAAGTGATGAAGACAGCTGATGTTTAACCCTTGGATCTTACAAACCTTACTTTTTGAGTGTATAAAATTCAAAACAAAACAGTGTGGTGCTTCCTGAGGGGGAGGGAGGGTCACATTCATAAATGGGTCTTCTCATTCCTTACTCTTACAAGGCCAGCTGACACAAGAAAGGGCAAAGAGACAAGGGAGAACAGAAACCAAGAAGCCACCCAGACAGTCTGAGTGAGAAGGCCCGACCAGGAAAACAAGGTAGAAGACAGCAGTGATGCCTCTAAAGCCCTTCAAGCTCAAGTTCACCATGTGGAAAATGGGTGTAACTGTACTTCATTGTCATGAGAACTGTATTAGGAACGGCTGGCTCACAACACACACTCTGAAAGTATTCCAAAAGAAGATAGTACGTCTCAACCCCGGGGAGCAAGCACACACCAGTCTTGCCAATTTCTTTTATCTCTACATAACCAGCAACCTCCACTTGAGCTCCTGAGTAGCAGCGAGACACATGAAAGTACTCATGACTGTTGGGCTGTCTTCGTGCCCACTCCATCCACTGACAAGAGCTGAAACAGTCTTCAACATTACCAAGCTGGACATGGGAGGTAACATTTACAACCCTAGCGCCTGGGAAGCTGAGGAAGAAGGATCAAGAGTTGAAGGCTAGTCTTGGTTAATATAGTAAGACTTGCTGAAAAGTTTTCATTGCTCTCCACTGCCTGACAAAACCCATCTCATCCCCTTGCCCAACAACCAGCTGCCTGCAGGACGGCCGGCTCTGCCCAGCTTGCTACATGCTCTCTTTGCTCTCCACACGCTCTTGAGCCCACACACTGGGAAACACTCCCTACTCCTAGGCTGAGTTCCTGACCCCCTGAATGACCCCATTTCTCAGACTTTCACCCTCTCAGTCTTTTGAGACTGTAATTAAATTGTACATCCTCCAAGGGACCATCCGTAAGTCTCTGCAGATGGAATGCATGTTTCTATAACACAGGCCTCTTCTAGGTATCCTGGTGTGAAGGTAGACTCTTATCTCTTGTCTTACTCAGCTCGGGAATCATTTGAAGTACCTGCCTAGTTTAGTGACTGTGACACAGGATGTGATCAATAAAAATTTTTGGATAAATGAACAAATGTTAGTATTTTTTAATTCTCAAATTTTACAATTAGGGTTAGTGAAAAATATCACATTGTATATTTGCAGAGAATTAAGAAGGAAAAATGTTTAAAAACAAAATGGGGAGCAAAAGGAAGAAAAGGAGTGCTGGAGAGCTGGCTCACCAGTTAAGGGCACCTGCTGGTCTTTCAGGACTTGGGTTCGGTTCCCAACACCCACATTAGGCTGCCTGCAGCCACCCCCAACTCCAGTTCCAGGCATCTGATTCCCTCTTCTAGACTCTTCAGGCATTTGCAAGCATGTGGTTGACATACTCAGGCACAAACATTCACATAAACTAAACAAGGAATTTTTTTAGAGAAAGGAAAGAAATGAATGTGTTAGGTGTAATACTAGCCACACAACAGTGACAATGACAAAATGCTATTGTAGCAAGTACTTTACTGAAGTACAGCATAAAATAACATTAGCAATAGCCACCCTTTATATAGATTTTACTGTTTAGATGCTGCATTGAGTCAAAAAAAGCTTAGATTTAATATAGATCAAAACACCAGAGATAAAAGCTACCTTCATTTTATAGATGAGAAACTATAGAGTTACACAAAGTTATCCTTACACAAGTCAGTCAGCTGGTCCCCATGCTTACATGCTTACCTTCTAATTAACTCTGTGTGTGTGTGTGTGTGTGTGTGTGTGTGTGTGTGTGTGTGTGTGTGTCTGTCTGTCTGTCTGTCTGTTACTAGAGATTGAACTCAAGACCCCATCCATGCTAAGCATGTGGTCACCTACTAAGCTACTTTACCTTACTAAAAGAAAGAGCTCAGGGAACAAGTATGTAGAATAGGGGAGATAAGATTACAAAACCACAAGGAAACATTGGAGATGGGGGGTACGTTCATTATCTTTATTGTGCCAATTTGTTCTGCGTGTGTCAATTTTAAAACTCATCCAATTATAGACTTTAAATATGTGGAACTTGTATTATGTTAACAAAACTATTTTAAAATGTTTAAGGAGAACCACATTAAACAGTGTGCTGAAATATCTGGAAAATAATGATCCCTGAAAACTAATGCACTTTGGGTTTGGTCTAGTTTAAAGACTGCAGCACGGTTTGTCTTGAAGGATACAGACTTCTTTGATGAGGGAGTAGCAGTAAACTGGTGGGTTGTTTTGCAGGGAATGCAAATCGCCCACTGATGTGGTGATTTGTTGGTGAAAGAAAATCCTGCTCTGCTCATCCAAAGCCACGCTCTGCAGGAGAAGACTTCCATGGGGAACCTTTTATGGTTCAAACAAACAACTTTTTAGCCAATGTGCCATTTTAAACATCCAGGCCAAATCCTATTATAAGCAACTCTTGGGATCCGTAGTCTTTGATTGTACTGGAATTTTTTTTTTCTGTGTCCACTGTACACAAGGACTACCTAGTCATTTCGGAACAAAACAAAGGATGGAATTTTCCAATGAGAGGGTAAGGGAATTTCCTGCAGCTGAAGAAAGTATAGAAAGTGTATTTTCACAATGAAAACACCTGCTAGGTACTGACTACAGGGATGAATAAAAAAAAAATCAAGATGTCTAGGTGAAATTTTAGAAAATAGGTACCAAGAAGATGGCTGGGTTTGTTCAGTGTAGGAGGTTTCAAGTCATGATAAAGTGGCTCTATTGCTTTGTGCCTGTGAGGGGCACCACTCCATGGCAGGGGATCTACAGCAAGGCCCAGAAATGAAAGGAAGGAGAAAGGAATGAGAGTCCCACTGTCATCTTCAAGGGCATGCCACCAAGAGCCAGAAGACTCCTACTGCCCCTACCTCTTGAGTGTTTCTACTGATTCACAATACCATCAGACTAAGGAATAACCCTTCCACACATGAGCTGTGCGGGTCAAGCAAGATTTAAACCACAGCAGAATAGCTCTCAGGACTGGGAAAGAAAGAAGGCCACACAGTCAGGGAAGAGCATAAAATTGGGAGGGCAGTCTGTTCTCCAGTTTGACAGGCCTCCTCCAAGTAATGACACTCTCAAGTATCTGTCTCCCTCCCTTCTTAAAATGGTGCCTGCCCAGGTGCTATTTTTTTCTTCCCCTCTGATCATAATAACAATCAGACAAGGTCACGGAGCCAACAACAGGCAAAGTGACAACAGCCTCTGAACAATGTTTGGCCTGTGAGCTGACACATTACCCTAAAGTTCCAGAAGAAACACCTGAGACAGCCCTGGGAAGAAACTGTTTCTCACCAGGCAACTAAATCGTGTATCCTGCTTCTGACCCACTTTCTTTAGACTATCAGTTAACATGCACATTAATCATACATTTCTTCCACAGCACTTTCAGATATATAGGTAAACAAATATAATACACTGTAACACGCTATAAATAGCATAATGTATAATTATTCTATTTAAATATTTTTTTTTTTTGTCAGAGTAGTGACTTAAGGCCATGATCTACTCATAAAATGACCTCCAGAAATCTGATTAAATTTGAGTTGACCTCGGGTCTTGAGTCCTCACTCATCTTCTCTGATTTTGTTTCTGTTTGATGTTTGGGGACTTGGGGACTGTAACTGCACCAGGAAAATGCTCGTCCTTTCAGCATGTTTTTAAAATGTGTTTAAACAAAGTTAAAGTTTTCACTGAAATAAGGGAAGCCAACATGCATCTGATCTAATTCTAGGCTTTCACAGAAGACAAGGAGGAAATAAGACAGGGAAGATGTCATCAATGAGACACACGCTGGAGTAGTGAAAGGCGGATTTTTTTTTTCAGATTAGACTAAATTCATTTTTAAGTGTCATACTCAAAGATATGAGTCCCCTGAAGAATCCAGTTGTACGTAGTAGCCCTCCCTCTCACGTCTCCACTTGACTCACCATCGCACTGGTGTTTTAATACACACACAGCTGACTGACTTAGTCTATTCATGCTTTAGCACATAACAGAGTGTGTCCAGCACACAGCACGTGCCCAGTAAATACTGGCTAACTGACCGAGTAAATGGACACACTTGGGCGTCCCTAACACCCATAACGGTGCAGCCAATGGCAGTGCACCTCCTTGCATGTGTGCTCCTCTGCGGCTTTTCCTACTTTTCAGGGGGGACAAATATTCCCGTAAAGCCCACTGGCCTGGCAGGTCCTCAGAGGCAACCCAGTTTCTAGAATCTCTCAAGCCTGAAGAGATACAACTGTGCGTTCATGTAGCCACTGATTCTTTGAAATGAAACAACACTGAACTTCTCACTGATAACCTCTATTTTTAGAAGCTGTGGCTCAAAACAAGGAAGAGATTTACACCAACAAAACCACACAACTCACCATCCTGGTCTTAGACTTTAAGCCCTCTCCTCCAGTTTGACTGTTTCTTCTCAGACGGAGTTCATCAAGGGAGGAGGAGGCCAAGTGAGACGGTACACACCTGTAATCCCAGCAATCAGGGAAGGAGGCTGGCGGACCACAAAGTCAAGGCTAGTGCAGGCTACCAGCAAGCTCCAGTAAATCACATAGAGAGCGGAGTCTCAAAAACAAAAGTTTTCTTGTCCCTTTGCCTCATCCTAAAAAGCACTGAATATAAATGTTTATTAATCTCTAGCCTAATTCTA